ATTATTTCAAGTCTGGTGCAAAAACGCATGATTGCACCGGCTCGCCTGGTGCGTTCCAGCCTGGGTGTTTTCAGGCTTCTCATGTTCCCAGATGTTGAAAATGCCGGGCTTTAAAAAAAAGAAATTTTGTATGCCTGAATTAACTCCTCAGAATTAATTCCAACCGACTACAGTTCTACCAGACATTTATCTCAATAGTTCTCTGTTTTAGAATAGTGATCGCGATCAAATTCTAGTGATGAAAGAGCACGCGCGAGAATCGGAAGGGGCAACAGCACTTTTAAAAGATTGCCCATCACCACACTACAGCATGATCATGCAGTATATCGACGGGTTGCAATATACGAGTATTCCGGATTATGGATATATTTATTACTTACTCAAGCATGCCGCAAAGGTAGCATACCGCAAGCTGAAATTTTAGGAAAATATCCCCTGCCCTAATGTTGTACAGCAATTTAAATTCAGTCTTTATGTATATTTAGTTTCCACACATAATCAACTGAAAGTTTTGCCTCCAAAATTAATAAGTCACGAGCCATAGAAGCTAGGAAGCTAATATTGAGGGGGATGTTGCTTGCCCACGTACCACACAGAAGATTTTGATTTAGCTTCCACAAGCGCTTACATTTCACGTAAGAAGACAAGCGCCTTGGTGAGAATTTTCCCAGCAGCGGAGCCAGACAAGGCAAAAACGCAAAATTTCAAGAGAAATGTCTGTTTCCTGTCCATAAGAGACTCAAAAAATTTTAGACTCAGCTTTCGCGTACGCCTAGATCACACATACGTAAGAATGTATGTTTTGATCGAACAGAACCTTCCCTACGATTTCTGCTCATACCAGTAAGCAAAATACTGGTCATTTTTAAAAGCCAACGTTCGCCAGGAAAAATTGCACAAAACGCATGATCGCACCAGCTACTCTGACGCGGGTCGCTGTTTGTTCTAAGTACGACATTTCCCTGACTGCAATAGCTTCATTAGGCGGCAGTGTAAACTCGTTTGCGGTCTGTTACTGTCTGATTTTGAAGGCTTCGCTAAAGGATGAAATTTCAGGCACATCGTATACCTCCGGATCAAGCCCTCGACTATGATCCAGAGCATCCGTATGCCGGAACTGAAACGCCACCGGTTTGTCTGCCGCCTGGTGTAATTATAAAGCCGTTGGAACATAAAGATATCGAAAATAAGAAAGAAAAAGTTCATTAGGAAATACGCCTTCTTTTCTGAAAGTAGAAAAAAGGAAACCTTTGTCCCAGATAACTGTTCACTCTCCCTTTATAAGTGCTCTTCTAATGCTTCTGTGCAGAAAGAAGCAGGGCTTTTTAAATCTCTCCCTGCCAAACTTGATTCGCGCCGTAAAAGAGATGTGACAGGACAAGAAAACCCATTCTTTTCCCGTGAAAAGGAATAAGGTAAGGAAATAAGGTAAAAATTTGCTGGGAACTTTAACATTGAAGAGTATTTTCCCGTGTTCAAATAAGTCTCAATTTCGAGCTCTCAGCTGTCAGCTCATTCGTTATAAAGTCCTGATGAGCTCTGATTTAACGTCTAGACCAATTCAGATTGTATTCGTTTTGTATTTTTGCAGTCATTCCATTTACCATGTGAGGAACTCGGAATAAATCGATATCAGTTTCTCGTGCTGCATGTTGACTAGATCGAATTTTCAAAGTATCAAGGCAGCTGAACACTTTCTAGCAGATTTTAGTGTATCTTTGAACCAAATTTTGAGTCTCTCCGGTTTAATTTTGCGCGTTCTGGTCACTCCTGTTTATGTGCAGCTGAATTCTACGCCATGTACTTAGATCACCTCCTTCTTTCTGTCGTGAATGATTTTGGCACTCTTAGAGCGATACGCGGAAGTTCCGCCATATTACAAGACCAGTGCAGGGCCAAGACATTCAGAGCAGTATGTTCAGCATGTCAGACCTACGCTTTCGTTAGTCATTCGCTGCCCTAGACAAACCCCCTCCCTCTCAAAGCGTCAAGTCCCAGTCTTCTTTCTTCTGCTCCGTTCACCATCTCGATGCCAAAAACAGTCGATGGGGAAGAGGTCACAGCGCGCCTTGCCCTCCTTCCCTCCACAGCTGTGCACAACCACAGCGCGACCTGTGCAAAACGGTGGATCTGCGGGTCACTCAATGTTGCTTGTCTTTGGAACTGAGAACTCTAACTTCTCCTGTTTCTGTCATCCATTTTGATGTTTCCCATTATTTCTCACATTGGATTCGGGTTTTTGCAGGTTATCCGTGGCAAGCTGCGTTGTTAATTTACCTACAGGGAGACAATCATTTGAGGGAGATCTATGAAGATGTGGTGCTGTTAGGTGGTGAAGCGAACTGGTAACACGTTTGTTGGGTTAAAAAAAAACAAAAGGAAATGGCTCAATTGCATTACGGGCATAATTGTATCAGCGGTGTCGACAGGGATTTTAACAGTGAAAGGGCGCTCAAGACCATTTGTTCAGAAAGGAAAAACGGTAAATTGGGCCCAGGGCGGAGAAGGAGGGAGGGGTGTGGGGGGCTAGATGGAGAGGGTGGGGAAAAACCTGTTGAAATGTTAGACTCCGAAAAGCTAATCAAAGAGGACATAAAAATTAGCTAGAGCTACGTAAGTTTGCCAAAATGGGGCAAACACTACTTCGGCTGCCACAGGAGATAAGTTGGATGGAAGTGCACGCACCTAATGCCTCATTTTGGCAACTACTAAAAACCGGCTTGGCTCGACTCGACTCGGCCAGGTTTGGGAAAAACTCGGCTTGGCTCAGCCGTTACTCCCCAGCGTCCCCGCTAATGCTATTCCTCGGCTTGTCGAGAAATAGCATTAGCGAGGACGTCGGGGAGTAAAGGCCGAGCCGAGTTTTAGTAATTGCCTATTGTCGGGAGGTTGCTTGCGTGTGTGTTTGTCTGTGTCTGTATGTGCGTCTGTACCGAGTTTTCATCTCAAGATCTACAAAAGCTACCATGCTGAAACTTTGGCAACTTAACTTACATATACGTACGAGTCCCTGTCTTCAAATGGGCGCTCGCATTCGCTTAGTTCTCACGTACGGGCTGAGGAAGTTTTTTTGGCGAAAAAGCGATTTTGGGAACGGCGCAAGCTAGAAGACTGAAACTTCACGAATTCTTTAGCCACGTTCAATCCAAAAATTCCAGATTCAGTCTTCACGCAACCCTGGATCTCAGGTACATACACGTCAAAGTTTAAACTGGCATCGTGCCAACTCCAAATTTAAGCTGACCAAGAAGTTCTAGACAGTTGTAATTTTGCAGCATTACTTGTCGTCTACTGATGTGTGCGGGGAAGTAAATTGAGCTTTACAGCCCCTCTCATCTCACGTACCGAAACGTAAAAATTTCATGTAGGCAGTTTTGTAACTTGGAAGCTGAAGCAGCTAGGAGGCTGAGACTTTTTAAGCGTGGCCGGCGGCGGCATTTGACCAGGTGGATATGAAAACAACTTGCAGTTCTCATCATGTCTTACGTACGCCTCACATACGGACACTTGAAATTTGACGTAACCCTGCAACAAAAACAACTAGAGCTCTGAAAATTTCTGAGAATGGCTTACGACCGTGATTAGGCAGTCACGTATAAAAGGCAACCAAATCAGCTCCGGGGCTGAAATTTTATGAGCGTCGTCTAGGACCGTCTTTGGGCAAATGCGCATGGAAACCACGCTTTCCTTCGCATGCGAACACGTGAGATTTGACGTCCGCAACCGCGCTGAATTTTCCGGGCATGGATTGGGAGTCACCGTAATAATTTCTAATAGTTGTGTTGACCACTTTCAATTGGCTGTAACCATTTTCCGAAAAAAAGTGCCATTAGTGACAAAAATCTGTGGGGAAAGTATGCAAAAAATGCATCTTCGCGCCGCCAGCCAGTGCGCTGGCCAGTGATTGATGCCTGGTATGAGACTTATTGCTGAGGTGCAGTCGACTTCTTAATATGGACTCATTTTTGAATTCAAGTTCGTGTTGCGAAAATGGTGGTGCCGAGTTTTGTCTAGCTAAAGTTCTAGTGTCGCGTTCACGACTGCTAATTTTCCCTCGGCACCAGGTTCCATGCTGAGCATAAAAAAGTTGTAAAGGCATACCTCCAATAAACTCCACCCCTGTTTTTAATTCTTACCCCTAATCAAGGTCTCAGCTCACTTCCAGCCAATGACTCGGCTCTCTCTCTTCGTAACGACCTGTGGGACCTGAATCACCATCTCCTGTCCTCACTCCCTCCCCGCGCCCCTACAACTCCCTTAAACCTTCTACTCCATCCCCATCATCGGAACTTGCTTCTCGGCGAGCCATGTTTTAGTAATTGTCTTATTTTCAGGCAAATAAAAGCAAACCTGGAATGAGCCAAATAACACTTAGTGTTCTGTGCTGGTCATACAATGGCGTTGTTGACTTTCTCTGAATCGCTCACTAATTGGGGGATTCACTGACAGTTTAGGGGTACAAATCGAGTGCTGCGAGCTGTACTACAGTGAGGGACCATTAGGCACATGGCATCATTTACGATGCTAATGGATTCGATACAAACATCCTGGTCTTAATCTGCAAAAAAACATAAGCATAACCTAGTGAGAGTCTAACAGAGAGCAAGAAAAGTCGCATATCGACTCAGGCTTAATAGAATCAACTCATCTATGCTTGACACATTCGGTGTCAGCTCGAAGTGCGTTGCCCGAGTAGTTGAAAATCCTGCATGCCAGTCCTAAAAATGCTAAAATGTTTCGCCTGGTAGATATCCAATTCATTTTTTTTCAGCAAAGCGGATGCTTCTGGATAAGACTGGTTGGCGTTCTGCTACAGTGTTTCCCGTCCCTAATTCCGTTGTGGGAAACTGTGGATGATCAAGAGTGTTTCTTGTTCATTGCAATAACCAGTCTGTCGATTGGTTATAGCGGTGAACAGGAAACACCCTTGATCATCCACAGTTTCATTTAAATTAACTTTTCCTGATGTAGTTGAGCACTTTCAGCGACTTTTTTGAGCTGAGCTGACAAAATGTTCGCTTCGCCGCTGAATTTTTGCTCTTTTGGTCGCATTCAGTAAGGAGTTTTGTTGAAAAACAAGCATGTTTCTCAAAGGCAGAACTTTTAATTTACTTGCAGACGGCGCAGTCTGAAAATTTGCAGTTGATTGAACTTGAAAATCCCCAAATGACGGAGCCACAAACTGCGCAGTCGGCAGAGCAAGAAAAATCTCTGATGTCAAAGCCTGGAAACGTGCAGGTACCGGTCATAGAAGCACTGCAAATGCAGGGACCAGTAAAAGTTGAGGAGCCGCAGACAAAAAATTCAGAAAATGAAACGGGTTCGGAAGGGGACAGTGAGGAATACAGCACAAACGAGCAGTATCCTACGGCTGATACGCAGCATCCTACGGAGGACGATATTTCAGCTAAACAAGGCCAGCAGCAAATTGCAAACGATATTGATGCTAAATCGGATGTGCAGCATCGCACAGAGAACGACGACGCAGCTCAACAAAGCCAAGAGCAAATTACAAACAATATCGATGCTAAATCGGATAAGCAGTATCCCGCAGAGAGCGGTGCTTCAGCTCAGCAAAGCCAGCAGCAGCAGATCACAATCATCTTGTCGAAATTCGGCCAGCAGGTGATGAATTCACACAAACTCGATCCGTCTCGCGACGAGATCTCGGCGTTGTCCAAAGGATTCAAAGAATTTGCAGAAGCGCTTGAAAAAAGAGCAAACAATTCGGGAGAGCGCAAGGTTTGCTTTAGTTAAAAAAACTCTGTCAGAGAAACTAGGAAACTAAAATTTCAGAATGTTGTCACTCATGTCTGGCCGAGATGATTGGCTTGCACGTGCGCCTTGATTTCCAAACACACGAAAGCTGAAATTTAGAAGGTATCTCGCCACGCGAATTTGGGAATCAGACAAGATAAAAAGCTGAGATTTTAGAAATCCTTCATTTCCACTTCCAATTCCTGAAATTTTAAATTCGGTTCCTCTGAGTTACCTTGTCCAAATAAAATCATTATTGGACTGACGTTATTTGTGTATGTAAACAAAATTTAGATGCATGAGTTCGTTTTACTTGCCAGATATTCATTTTAAATGCGACTGG